AAAGATTCTGTGATTCCATGCTAACCATATTAACAGGGATTAGGAGCCAGGAGTTCTGGTTTCCAGAAAGGGAAATAAAATGGCAGATATGTTGGATCAATAACCGTTAACCATATTTCATAGTATAGGAATACTTATATTGCTGTAAATATGTATATTGCTGTAAAGACAGTGTCATAATTTGTTACATACTTTTCAGATCAAATTGAGTGAAGTTATTGGAACAGGGAAAGATAACAGAATCCTGAAGGAAGACATTCTCAAATTTTTGGCCAAACAAACGGGAGCTATCCTACCTCCATCACCAAAGGCGTTGTCAAAATCAGAGACAGCGCCAACTGCTCCAAAGGACAGAGCGCGCAAAATTCCAACACCTGTTTCCAGACCCATTGTGTTTTCAGGAAAAGATAAAACCGAACCTATAACAGGTAAATCATCAAGTACAAAAATCTTGAGAAATTGTTTGCAGTGAACTGCTGGTGAATGTAACTCAATGAACGTTTGTCTCCATTTGATGGGAGTGTTTCAATTTATTATTTTAAGCGAGAAATAGGAAAACATGCTCTCTGCAAGAAGATGTTGCATAAAGTTATTATTTTCTGATATAATTGTTCCTATTTTGGGCGGATGAAGTTTGGATGCAAGTTGCGCTTGCTCATTTTTAACCCATGTTTCCTCAGATTTATTCTGAAACAGGTTGGAATTTAGAAACACTTGTGAATTTGTTACAGTTTGAGTCATCATGTAATTAGTTGTAAAGTTATTTCTTTCAGAGAAACAATAAAAGACACAGAGATAAGAAAAAATCTCATTGAAAGAGGAAAGTGATAGATTTTAATTTTCAAATAATTGGAATTTCACTCTCAGTTCCAAGAAGTTAATTTTGTTCACGTAAGAAGTCAGTGAATATTTTCCAGGTTTTCACAAGGCAATGGTAAAGACTATGAGTGCTGCCTTAAAGATCCCTCACTTTGGTTATTGTGATGAGATTGACTTGACTCACCTTGTTCAGTTGCGAGAAGAGCTCAAACCTTTAGCACGAAGTCGTGGAATTAAGCTTTCCTTTATGCCTTTCTTCATAAAGGTAAGAAATGCAGCAGAACACCATATGGAATACTAATGCAGATTTTACCAAAATCTTATGATAGATCATTGTTTTAAGTTTGGAGCACACAGATCACAAGAAAAACATCAGCTTTTCTTGTATAATGCATCGTTTATCAGTTTACTGTTGGGACTGTAGTTAGGTTAGATAACATGGGAATGGAGAAAAAAGAGCAGATACAGCATGATGTAGTAAGCAAGTAAACATCACTGAGTGTGTAATTTAAACAAAACATATTTTAGAAACAATTGGTAGTTTTGATGACCTTCGTTAAACTCAGTCTCACTTAAAATGCCATGTAAGTGTTGTTGCTGGTAGTGAATCCCTCAGATGAATGAATATGTTTATGTTGTTCAGGTGAATTGAACATATGCCTTCTCTGGTTCAAACATGTACTCATGTAGTTGTCATGGTTTCATTTCCAGTTGCTGTCATCACTGGAGGCTGAATGCATAAAATTTCTGATAATGCTATTTCAACTGGAGTGTCAAGTACTTATTTTGCTCACTCTTTTTAGGGGGAATTACTGTTCCCTGCAATAACCAGCTGATTGGAGAGTTTAGAATGAAATTGCTGTGGAATATCCTAACTTTTTTCTTGGGTTATTGAATTCTAATTGTGGAACAGGAAGTAACTTGAGAAATTGATCATTACTTTTTGTATGTCTGCCTGACATATGTTTGTTTTTTATAAGTTTTTCCTTCTGTTACTGTGATCATAACAGAATATCAACATGCATAGGAGCATGTAGGAGAGTTGAAGCCGCATTTGATTGCATCAAGGAAATCTAGTTTATTAGCCTCATTTGTCTCCCAGTGTTCCTTATCCATGCACTTCTCTGAGTTGTTAAGTATAAGAATATATCTTTTTGTTTATGTTTAACAGGCAACTTCTCTAGGATTATTGCAGTATCCCATTCTTAATGCTTCTTTGGATGAAAGCTGTCAGAATGTCACTTACAAGGTTTGTAAACTTTTTGATAAAAGTTGTGAGCAGAAAACCCAAAATAACATTTGATGAGGGCTTTTCAGAATGTCTGAGGCAATGAATATAAAAACTGTGGTGGTGTGCTGGGAAAGAACTCAAGTATCCAGATACTGTCTCAGATTAAGTTTCATTCAATATAGATTTTATTTCAGTGTGTTATTTAATTAAAGTCATTTTTTCACTTCAGCTTGCTCTCAAAAATGTGTATTACTACAGTGATTTCCTGTTTTCCCCCTGAAGATAGACCAAGCAATTGTAGTGGTAATATCTAAAATCCAAAGACAGTAATTTTTAGTAATGGCACAGCGACTCTGCTGTTTGGACTGCCAGCTATTATGTACTTAAATCATATTTTAAGCTCAGTTTTGATAAAACTCATTTAATTTTTGTACAAGGTGCTGGCCAAATACTTCTAGAAAGAAGTCTATTTTCTTAAGTGATGTGTATATATGTGTGTGTGTATATATACCATATATATATTGTATAACCAAGATGTTATAATTGCAATATAATCAAAAGAGTAAGGCAAACAAGGATCACAAAAGAGAATAAGTAGAAGAGCTTACCCTTGGGTTGAGCTCACTAGAAGATATCAAAGAGGAGGATCTCCAGAAGAGATCCTTCCCCTCTGGTAGCCAGCTCTTAAATAGGTCCAGGCTCCACCCCTTCCGGTAGCACAGGTGAATTGCCTTCACCTGTGCTCCTCTGGCTGACTCATGGCTCACCTCAGGTGATCAATCAGAGGTTCAGGCCGTGACTCAGCAGTTCCCATACAATATATATAACATATAGTTAGTAAAACTTCCTTTTGTGCTGTTTTATCAGACTCTCTCAGATGAATCCTTACATTGTCCTTCTAGCAAGTATGCATGTTGTGTTGACTGCTTCTGTTAATGTCTGGTTAATGAAACTTATTGTAGGCTTCACACAACATTGGAGTTGCTATGGACACAGAACAAGGTTTAATTGTCCCAAATGTGAAAAATGTTCAAGTCAGTAGTATCTTTGAGATTGCTTCTGAATTAAATCGCCTACAAGCCTTGGGCTCTGCCGGCCAGCTGGGAACAAATGACCTCACTGGGGGAACATTCACCCTTTCAAATATTGGCACAGTAAGTACAAGAAAAATGAGAACTTGCATCTGAAAACTGCATTTGAAGTGAACATCTTAATAAAAGTTTGATATGCAGAGAACAAAATGAGCAGTAATTCCTGCAAGAAGCTTTTCAAGTAAGTGATACAATTATTTGTTAACTAGTATCCCCGGCATTTTCTTTTTTAGATTGGTGGTACTTACGCCAGAGCAGTGATTCTACCTCCTGAAGTCGCTATTGGAGCACTTGGAAAGATACAGGTACACTGACTATCTCAGTAATATGTTTAACTCTAGGGAGCTAAGGTTGTTTTCAGTGAAAATGTTCTTACGTGTTTCCTTGTTTTTAATATAAACTTGACTTCTTTCTGTTAAATAAGTGCCTTAAAAAACGTTGTGGTATTTTTAGATGGCTAAGCAGAGACACTGAAGTCTTTTATGCCAAAGTTTCAGCTTTTTCTCTAGAATTCTCTAACATTCACTCAGGTCTGTATTTAATCTTCTAGTTATTAGGCAACAACATAAACATTTTTTTGAAGTTTTTGCAACGTGGCAATAGCAGTCTTACTATGATTAAGGAGAAAACTTGAGACTTAAAGTATTTTGATAGTATTTAGCTTTATGAGCCAGATGGCTGAATCTACACAGAATTCTGTGGTCATGGCAGTTTCTTATTTTCTGAACTTCGGTATTTAACTATTTAATGCAGACATTTGAGATCAATGCTGGAAATGACATTAATATCAATTAAAAATACTTTTCACGTGTTCTTCCTATGAGCCTCATTTCAGGAATGCTTTAGGAAAACTGTCATTTTGAGCAGTAAAAGTGCAAGTAATTATTCAGGAGAAAGCTTCTGGGTCAGTGAAAGTTTTCACTACTTCTCTATATCCAGGATGGTGGAAAGTGGATATTGCTGTTTATTATGTTGGTTCACAGAAACAGCATGGGAAGATCTTTCATTTCTGAATGACACTACTGCTGTCTGTCTGACTTAGCAAAATATTTGAATTTAGATTAACAATAAAAATGTGGTTTTGTTAAAGAAAATATGTAATATTTCTATCTTACTCCTTTCACTGGTTTTTAGGTTCTTCCTCGATTTAATGGGAAAGGTGAAGTATTTAAAGCACAGATAATGAATGTGAGCTGGTCAGCTGATCACCGTATTATTGATGGAGCTACAATGGCCCGTTTTTCTAACCTCTGGAAATCTTATTTGGAGAACCCTGCTTCGATGCTGCTAGACCTTAAATAAAGGAAATCATGACTAGAATATGCCTTTAAACTGTGTTAGACTGAATAACTACAAAAGCTGGCTTTGCTAGCACATGCCCTTTGCTACTCATATTATATAATAACTTTCTGTGGTTAAAAGTTCTCAACAGCTGATATCAGTCTATCAATTAATTGTTACTTCTTTTAATTAGTAGTGCTGTATTTTCTTGTACAGCAGGCTGTCAATAGGTCATGGCACAACTTCTGAACATGGTGATGGATTGTCTTTATTTTGCCTTCTGTAATACATATGATTGTAAGACTGGTATAAATGAATCACTGATCTACATCTGTCATATTTTTAAACAGGTTAACTCATTTTGAAGGCGAAAACGCACAGTTCTTCTTTGTTGGAAACAAATTTATCTTAACAGATAATATCAAAATTTCCAAAAGAAGTTATGCAAAATTAAATGCAAATAAAATGTCAATTATGCTTCTGCTGTAAGATGTCCAGAGAGCTTTTTGTTGTTTAACAGAGTTAAACTCTCAGGTTTAACTACTAGTCCACTTTTTCCTGGTATTACTTGCACAGGTACTTTACCAAATGATAAAGGGAGAGGGCATATTTATTCAAACATTGCTGATAACATTTACTGATAAATATCAGGGCCTTGAAACTCGCTAGGATATACCGTATTTTTATAGTCTCGAAGTAGTTACAGTCCTTAAATTCCACTATTTTTGTTTCTTAAAGAAAACATCTATTTGTAGAAAAGGAGGATCTCATTAGTTATTGTGACATTAAATAAGTCTGACAGCAAAGAAAAAGTACTCTAGAAGTTTGCACCATTGTACATTATTGATGTTCATTTACCAGAGCTTGACAGATTAATCTGATACAACTAAGAATTAGTATTTAATAAAAATATTATGAGGAATAACTGATACAAGGCAAAGAATGAAGAGGTTCAAGTTAATGCCTTCAGAACAGATTATAATAGTGCTGCTTTAAGGTAAACTTAAGAGATGATGAGGACTGTTGTGGTTATTTGGTAGGAGTTAGAAAATGGTTGAATATAAATGCCTTCTGAAAACATAAGCTTGAAACACGCACAAGAAAAAGCAGTTGTATGACCTTAAAAATGGATTTGTAAATTTGACGTTTTCTCCTTTCTTTAGAAATATCAAAAACTGTCTTTACAGGAATATTCACCAGTGTTGTAGACCAAAGTAACCTGATGTGTTTAGCTGTGAAGATGCAAGATGTAAGCTACCGGAGTAGAATCTCTGCTTCCTTGATGCTGAGACTGAGTGAGAGGAAAGGTGGTAATGTAGGTGGGGAGTATACATGTAAGGTGCTATTTGTAATCCTGTAGTGATATAAGGTGCCTTTATGAAGTCACTTACTGAAGACTTTGACTAATATGTTGTGCATATCACCTATTTCACTTTTATCAGATTTATTTATTCCTAATAAATTTTCTCAAAGGCACAAATAATTGTAGTAATACTGTTTTTATATGTGAATTTATTTCATGCAGGTGATCCTGTACAGGTGGATACATCTTATTTTAAAGAACGTACTGCACTTGAGACTGCTAAAAGGGCACAGCCTAATGGCTACTCTCCTACAAGTCTGTTACTGTGGTAAGGGCTTAGTCTGAATTATATTTTGTTTTAGTCTTATGGCCATATAAAAAATAAGTTGAGGAAACAAAAGCATATGATAGAAAGTGATAAAGATCTTGAAATATTTTAGAGAAGAATTTTACTCACAAAAGAAGCTTCAAATTTCTTTAACACTCAAAGACCTGGTAAAAGGAAAGATAAAATTCATTTTGGCTTAACTCTAATTATTTGTCTCTTTCAAGAGGGCAGAGCTTATATTTATATTTTAAAAATTAATTAATTAAAAATACTGGGGGTATTGAACCTCAACCAAAACTGAAAGAAGCAATACCTATACCAAAGAGGTCATTTTTACTTTTGCATAACTTTCTCCTTTGCTTCTAACACATCCCCCCTCAAACACAAAAAATGTGCCCTTGAAGATTAAAAACTATAGCAGTTACTGTCTGTTAAAATAGGAATGGGTGTTCATGTTTTAGTTTTTTAGTTTTCATTGTTACTGTTGTGGTTTACTTTCCATTATGAAGTTTTGTGTGGTAATGATAGAATTTGAATCAAGCTGATAATGACTAAAAACGTTTTCTACTGTGACCAAATGAGTGCTATTTTTTAAGTTTTGTCTTCATATTTTATATCCTTACAGTGCAGTCCAGGTTGGAACAAGTCAGTTTTATGACTTCTGTTTCAACCAGTATCTTTATGATAATTGCTGCCTCTCTCTTTCCGTCTGAGTGAAGAAAAAGTTATTAAGCATAAAAAATAATAACAAAGTTAAAATAGTCTAAATAGTCTGTCATGTAACTTCTAATACTTGTTTACTGTGACAGTTGTTCGCCTTTTATCTTCTCCAATGTCTCTTTGAAGAAATAGAATGTTAAAAATGTTTTATGATTGGAAGCATGTAAAAGGGAGTGGTGAGCAATAACCCCTCTGCATACCATGATAAAAATTACTCTTCTGCCTGGTCTTTGACAATTTACATGGGAATTCTTCATCATGAGCAAGAGCAATGAATAAAATACTTAATTATGTAACACTTCTTCTAGTTTAATTAATCACTGTTACTGATTAATAGCAGTTGTGCAGTACTAAGTATTTTCTGAAGCTCAGTTATCTTGCAGATAAACGCTGAAAGAATAAAAAAAAATGCCCAAAGTAACTTACTTGTAGTTTTCATTATGAAGTATAATGAATTTGTTTTTATTCACTGCTATTAACTTTTATTGATCTTATAAGCAGTTTATGGGAGTCCAGTCATGTTCTGCAAACTAAGAAGACATTAAGAATGGTAAATGCCGGGGGTGTTGCAGAAGTGCCTCATGTGATACCTTCTATTCTCAGCATAGGCTAAAATTAGAACTAGAGTGACATTGCACTGGAGTCTGAGTGAGAGTTCCAAATGGTTTTGATAGTACAAGCAAAATTTGTACCTTACCTAGGCTCTTGCACAGAAAGCAATGAGTCATGGAAAATCTTTGAAAGCCAAATATTTGAGGTAAGTTGTTCCAAACTCTCTTAGGTGCTTGGAGGTGATTTTGGGGGGAATTACGTGGTAGTAATTTGAGTAATTTGCGTTTATTTTACAGCCACCTTTGGGAATTCACTTCTTAATTATCAGTGGCAATGTGATTGTTATGTTCTTATTGTTTGTCAAGAAAATATCGAGAAGATTTGGCAGTAACCCTGGTATTATATAATTAAATATCCTTGAAGGTAGAATCATATACTTAGGACCTTCCGTACTTCATGGTTCTAAAGCAGTGTTTTAGAATTGAATTATATGCTGTCCACTTTTTGCTGAGTGTAAGCTTTCACTAAGAATAAGTACTGATTGTGTGGTCTGAGATTGGCTTTAGCAGTGCATGTATGAACGAATTTGTAGAGATTGGAACCTTAATGTATCTTTTCTGTACAACATACTCGAAAGATTTGTAGTTTTCTATCTGAAAATGTCTGAACAACAGGTATGATTGATCAGGTAAATCACTTTTTCTCGATAGAAGACTAATTCTGAAAATAAGACATTTTAAATTGCAGCTGCTAATTGGAGCAAAAAGGCTCATATGGTGTTTTAGTCACTAGTGTTGCATGCTGGGATGAGGAATGGAAAGGTATTTACTAGGAGTACCACTGAAAAAGAAGTTAGTCTTTCAAAGTACAGCAATTAATTGTAATCATATTGATGCAGGGAAATATGAAAAAATCTTCTAGTTACAGAGAAGAAAGGATTGAATCCCTAAAAAGGGATTGAATTCCCAATTGAGTGCCAGACAGCATTGTGCCACACTGTGGGATGCCTTTTGTATCACCTGTCAAATCCTGCCATTCTTCCTTAACAAGTAAAGAATGGTTAAGAATTCTTAGTATAGAAGTATTGGACCAGATTCTCTCTCTCCCTCTCTCTCTCTTTTTTTTTTTTTTTACTTTCCTTTGGGAGGGGTGTGGGGGATCAAGCTTTATAAGATGGCTTCATGCTGTCTTTAGAACAGGAATCAATCTTGACAATTTAAAATTAGTGTTTGCTTGGCTGTACCTTTTAAATTGATTACAATCAGACTTCACAAACAACCGTGTTAGCGAAAGACATGATAAACATAAAATGGCAGTAGAACGTTTTTTTGGAGGGTGTACTTATTGGGATAACAAAGTGTCTTTGCTGATCTTCAGAAAATTATGTATTAATTATCTCCCTAAGGAAAAGATGATTTTAAAACATTAGCCTGATTTGATTTGGATCTTGACACTCGGGAGGTCTACAAGATGGCAAAAGAGATGTGAAGAGTATGAGAAGTCTTTTTTAAAAAGGTAATGCATTACTGACTGTACACTATACTATGAGAGATACTATTAAGAAAAATAATACGAATAAATGCACATGCTAACATGTTTTTAGCAATATATCAATTTCTCTGAAGTGCAAAATTCCTTTCATTGCAAGTATTTATACTACCCAGGATGCAACTCTAATGATTAATTACCTGGAGTCGCACAGAACACTAATTTCTTCCTGGAAGGGGAATTAATTCTTGTACCCACATTTAGTAATGATGGTTGTTCTCAGTCTACAATTGTAATGAACTGAAAGAAACAGTTGTTCTCAAGAAGAATGCAGAAGAGATTGTAAAAAGATCCTTCATACAGGTGCCTTTGGGAAAAAGAAGTTCAAAATTGTACATTCAAGTTAGTATTTAATTTGCTTCCCAAAATGAATGTTGAAATTCCTTATACTTTCTAATTATTTTTCTTTTGTCACTATTTATTTTAGTTGTGTCAACATCTTTGATAACAGTGCTATGGTTTAATGGTCTCCCATGGTAAATTCTCTAGATCATTGCATAATGATTTTGTTGAAAGCCAATTTTTGAAGCTAATTTCCATTTTTAGTTGTTTACATTGTATTTTATTTCAGAAAATTTAACTGGGTACAATTATTTTGTACATAGAAAGCAATTGGTAATATTCTGTTAGCCCTACATTAACTATATTCAATGATATAATCAAGGAGATATGTCTGTATTTTAGTTTTCATGTCACTGCCCCCATGCGGTAGGTGATACAAGCACTAAGGCGCTGAAATTCACAGTTGGAGTCCTGTGATTGAACCTGAACATGTAAGAATCATGACTGAAACTGCTGTTTGCATTGGATCATTCACTGCTGTGAAGACACTTTGGGAAGTGAGAATACAGAAGATAAATGAAGAATTACGGAAAGAAAAGGAATTCAGAGAGAGGTCTGCAGGAAGGTAGGTAAACTGTAGATGATATGTGAAAACCTAGACTCTAAGTTACACTGCAGAAGACTGGAAGTAGTCTTTCCAAACTCATCCACAGTCTAATTCTTTAGTCTTGACTGCATAGAACTCCCACTGGTTAGAATCTGGCAATACGTTCAGGTCAATCGATCAGATGTGTTCTGTGATAAAAATATTAGCATATGCACTAAATCTAATTAACACTAGTTTTTTTATTCTCAATGGAAGCATTAACCTTTGTTTGGTCTTCTCTTCTGAGTAGCCAGCAATTTCACAAAATGTGAAGAAATTTAGCATTTTTGGAACCATTCCTCATTTGTGAGATGTTTGAAATGGAATAACAAATTCAGAAGTCACAAATGGAAAATAAAAGCAGAAAAAGAAGTGGGCTAATTATTAAAATTCTTGTTGTGTTGAATTAAAAAAAAAAAAAATTCTTTGTTGAAAACAAAGCTAAAAGAATCTCTAGCTGATTGGCCTTGTTTGAGTGAACTTCTATTTGGTGGAACTGAGAGCTTTCTGTCCCACCACGAGATTGTTTCAAAATTTATGACTTTGGGACTGTCGCTTTACATGAGTTTACCTTCTATTTCCTGGCTGCAGTGTGATGAAACTGAATAAAGTTTTATTTTCCTTTTGACTGTAAAACTAATCCATGCAGAACTGCAGATGAATAGAGTAACTATAACTCAGTCAAACATTACTTCATGTTCTTATCTTCCCTCAATTGATAATATAATTAACATTCAGAAACAATATTTTTACTCATTCAAAGTACCTGCCTCTTTGTTTTTCCAGTAATACAACGGTTGGTAATTATTGCCTTTATTTACAGCTGCACCACTAATAAATTTTCTTCCCTTTGTAGGTTACTGCTTGTCTGGGAGGAGAGAACCACTTTAGCAAAACTCAAAGAGAAAGTAGTTAATGAAGATGGAAGAGCAGTTTTAAGGATAGAGGAAGAAGAATGGAAGGTATTGTGTATAGGTATTAATATTGCTGAATGAAGACTGAATGACTTGATGCATTTGAAGACTGCTATTTACATCTTTACGCTCGCGGTTTGACTCTTTCTAATCATGACTACTTCTAATCATGAAATGCTCATGTTTTGCTTTGCCAACCATGAATTGAGGTGCACTGTTGTGAGAATGTAAAAGCAAGCTGATTTTTTTTAGTTTCAAGTATTAAGCATTCCTCTGCAAAAATAAAGCCCAAAAGGCTTTCTTGCATTAGAAGTGATTTTACATTGCAAAATGTGAGTTTAATTAGGTACATCTTCGTTTTGTTAATGCACCCAAAGCACTGAAATATCTCACGATGAAAAACCTCTGTGCTTAGGTGCACAGATAGATTTTTTTATGGTTACTTACTTTCTGAGTGACAACGGGTGAGTTAGATTCTCAGATTCTTATTTCTAATGTGTGTAGGGAGTTGGCTAACTGTAGAATCAACAACAGAATGGGATCTAGCAGTGAGGACAAGTTACAGAGCTGGTAGTTTTATCAGTGCAGAAATGCAGGTGCCAGTTCGATGAAGAGAATTAGACTATGTTGAGGTCAGTAAGAGTTACAGCCCTGCCAGCAATACTCTGGTGTTCAATATAGGAAAGCTCTGGTTTTTGTTTGGAATTCGTAACTGGCAAAGACTGGAGTGTTTCTGTCCTTCAGCTCTTAACAGAACAGGAAATGTTATTTAGATAATCATTTAAAGGCAACAATCCATTTAGAGCAGCTTCATCCTCAGTTATAAAGCCTGAAACCTTTCAAACAAATGGCAGTAGTTCAGATGTCTAAGTCCTGAAAGAGAACAGTCTGCAGATGAAACTGGTGGTTAGAATGACCCACACTGATAGAGTTCCTCTTTGGATGTTATTGTGGAGTTTGAGAAGAAGGAAATATTTATTATTATTATTATTTTTAAATCGCAATACAAAATATTAATGAGAAAACAAAAATCTTACCACCACTTTCTGACTAAACCCATATTCTTGTTTATTAAGCTGAATTTTTTTTGGATTTATATTTCTTGTCTTAGACATTACCTTCCTGCTTATTGAAATTAGTCCATCTCCAAGAATGGCAGCTTCATAGAACTAGCTTGCAGAAAATTCCTCAGTTTGTTGGAAGATTTCACAATCTCGTTGTTCTCGATCTATCCCGGAATTCAATAGAAAGCATACCTAAAGAAATTGGTGAGCTGTACTTCATTTTGTTTTATATTGCTTTTCTAAGAAAATTAACGTTATACAAGCATGCAATTTCTTGGCATTTTAACTTCCTAAGTTTACAGCTGTGTAGTTAGAAAACATTACTTATATTTGGCAGTTAGGTAGAGATCTTAAGGCCACCAATTCCCTATAAACTTTTTTTTTTTAAAGAAGTTCAAGTTCTGAGTTCATGGCGCGAGTTGTTCTTTGCATAAGTTTTTGGATTTTTTGAAGTATTCATCTAGAATTCTGTACTAGAGTCCTGAAATCCTTTCATTTAAATTTTTATTTATTTATGTACTATGAGAACACAGAACTCTTCTATAGCATTACTAGGATAACAGAAAAACATTAATGCTCTATTTCAAATACAATAAATATTCATGTTCATTCTTTCTCATTTGTGCTCTCTGCAGGCCAGCTGACTGGCCTCCAAGAGCTGCTTCTCAGTTACAATAGAATAAAGTCTGTTCCTAAGGAAATAAGTAATTGCATCAGTCTGGAAAGATTGGAACTGGCTGTCAACAGGAATATCAGTGATCTTCCTCTGCAGGTTTTGACTATTCTGATTTATTTATTTACTTATTTATTTTGTGATGTATATTTTGAATTTACTCTCTGTTCTTATATTTGCTTTAGTATTCTGATGTTATAACTGTTCCATATAAATGCACACATAAACAGTATTCATACCACTAATCCAACTGAATACACATGACAATCCAACTACCTGAGTAGTTGCAAGAGATAATCTTTGTCTAGATAAATGAGCATACAGGACAGCAATACACTTGATGTTAGTTTAGGCTGAAGATCTTCACTGATTGATTTACCCCACTGTGGATCTGATACCTTAGCACAGATGAGTTCACTTTTAAGGCTAAGAATGCAAGTTCGTGCCATTTGCCACCGTATAATTGAAAGCATCTTTACCTGGACTTCTAGCTATGAAAAGGTTTTGTGTGATTTAGACAATTGCCAATGTGCAAAAAGTTGAATTAATTTTGTTCTGAGAAGATGCTGAAAGCAATTAAATGAGAATAAAGCAATTGCTTATATACTGTTGAGATTTAATTTGGTCTAAAGTATATGTGAAAGAGACCTCCATCTCCAACTATTAGGCCTCCTAGGTACAGAAATGTCAAGTACGTAACCGTATTTGCTTCTTCTAGTGTATAAAAAACCACAGTAATGGAGCATTGCAAAATTAAGTCCAAGCGACAATACCCAACAAATCTTCAAATAAAAACATACATGATTAGTCAAAATGCAGAATTTACTAAATCTACATGGATACAAGTGTAAGATTTAATATAGAGCAACAGCTCTTAAAGTAACAGCTCATAGTAAGCAATAGTAAGTACACAGTTCTTTCCTGTTGAGTTCATCATGTTGCAAACACCTGAGATATTTAGTGTAAATTTAGCTTGGTTCTATGTACATGCAAGTACTTCATTTGGGCCAGATTTGCCATCAAACATCTTTTCATTGCCTGAAAATTAGAAAAAGCATTTGAGTACATGATTCACCAAAGCACTGAGGTGTTGCAGCACTCATTGAGGCTGTTTAATTTTTAATGCCTTGCAGTACTAATGGACTTCACAACACTGAAAGTGTCTAAGTTCCCTCCAAAATACCGTCCATGCTATATGAACCACAAGAAACTAAATATTTGCATAATGAAATAGAGCAACTTGCATGGAGAAGCACCAGCTGAGCATAAAATACTAAAGACAGTGGTCGTAGAACATAATCACAAACATTTATGTTGGAAAAGACCTTTAAGATCATTTAGTCCAACCCTTAACGTAGCCACTGCCAATTCAACCACTAAAACGTGTCCCTAAGTACCACATCTACACATCTTTTAAATAGCTCCAGGTGATGTCTTTAAAAATCCTTTCCTTTATATTTGGGATGTATCTGCATTGTAGTCATGACATTCAGCTTCTCAGCATTTAGGGCGCTCACCCTAAATGAGACAAAGGTGATAGTAACCACCTGAACAGCTTCAAACCTACATCCCCAGCCTCCAGGTGAGTGCTGTAATTGTACACTGAAATTCAGTTAATGTATCTCAGAAACCATTCTGTGTTTACAAACTCCCAAATGTGTTTTAATGTTAAATTGTTAATTTTAATGTTAAATTTTCTTTTTTTCAGTAAACATGACATGAGTGCTGTAATGGAACATCAATACGAAGTTGTATTAAATCTCTTTCCTTTCAGCTAAGTGATTTAAAGAAGCTTTCACACATAGATTTGTGTATGAATCAGTTCACCGCCATCCCTTCAGCTCTTCTGAACATGCCAAATTTAGAATGGTTAGATATGGGAGGAAATCGACTCCAGAAGCTTCCTGATGCTATTGACAGGTAAACACAGCTCAAAGCTCACATCATAGTCTGAATAATACTGCATTGAAATTCTAATGGTTAAATCCTGTTTCAAAAGCTATTTCAATATTAACCTGATGGCAAAGTTAAGATTTATTAGCTTTTGTGTGTATTTGGTAAGTTAGAATAATTAATTTCGTAAATAAATAAATAGTACATGTACTGTTACCAAGTTCAATGTTTCTTGCTAATGACATGTTCAAGAAGCAGTTTAGATAGTTATCTTGGATACGGGATTTTCGTAGAGATTTTTATTATTCTTTATGTGAGTCCTTTATGTGGCTGTTAAAAATAATCAGTTTAGAAAATAAATCTTATCATTTATTCAAATTTTCTAAATCTTGACTGAGGAAATACCTACTTTTACAGAATGGAGAATCTCCATACTTTGTGGCTCCAAAGGAATGAAATTAACTCTTTGCCAGAAACCATTGTTAATATGAAAAATCTTAGTACTCTTGTTCTTAGCAACAACAAACTTAAGGATATTCCTTCTTGTATGACACACATGACGAATCTGAGGTAAGAAAAAGCAACAGAAATATAATTACCAGCAGATAAGTTTTAAAGCCTCCCTTAAGTTGTGTATCATAGAGTGATGCTAAGGAAGTGGAAAAGGTGTGTTCATGGTTATACAGCATAATTAGAGATTCACAACATTTGAGAATCTGGTCAAGAAAGCTTTGAGAAGCACAATGCATTTGAAGAGTGTAAGCTATGATAGTTACACTCCCAAAGTTTAAGGAGACTAATACATTTCTGCACATCAGGGGCACGTAAGCTTGTATAAGCTTTAATTTGTAAAGAGAGGTCTGTAGGCTTTATCTGTATAGTCTCAGTTGTTTGTGGGTAATGGTAGCTATTGTGGGGTGTAATGGTTTGAGGGAGGACTCAGAGGTGACATTCTCTTAAGTAGGGAAATGTCTGTTTTATGGGGTTTATTTGGCCTCCTTCTTCCTACAGCTGTAAGAATATCATGGGCACACTGTAGTATTACCCTAAGGCAAGCATCATAAACGGTCAAGCCATGGTATACATGGAACAAACCATGGGAGTGGACTAAGAATAGACAGACATTGGGTGGACTTACCTTGCAGTGAGAACACAACATTTGCACACTTGTTCTAATCTGCTTATCTAATCTGGATTATGCTGACAACAAAGTGAAACCCATAAAATAAAATAATGAGAACTGCAACGTTTTCTCCCACAACTATCAGCTAGTTATTATAAGAATTCTTCTTCATTTAGTTATTTGATTCTGCTAGTGCGTTGGTGGTTTCAACTTAAGGCTCATAGCATCTGGAAAAATATCCATAAATTGTTTCTCTTGTTCCAAATATTGGCAGATAAATCTTAATTCAGTTTCAAAAGTTCTCTCTGGTCAAGATGTAATGCAAGCATAACCTTCTCCACTGACCTGACAGATTTGTCAACTTCAGAGACAACCCACTGGAGTTAGAGATAACACTCCCTCCATGTGAGAATACAGAAGAAGAGGAGCAACAGGAAATGTTCGGCATTGAATTCATGCACATGTATATCCAGGAGTCACTGAAGAAAACAGGTATGGTTTTTTATTAATTCCAGTCCCCCTGGAGTGATGTAACAAAGGGAGGCTAAGCTGGGTAAAAAAAAACTAGAGTACGTACACAAATGACACATGAAAAGCCTGGATTAGTATTTTCCAAAGTCTGCAAGCTGAATTTAAGGAGGAAGGGAAGAATTCTGTCTCTCCCTGACAAAAACCCAGTCTCCTAAGCAAAGCAGCCCCTACACTTTCATCTCACTTCTAAATTGCTATGTCAAAAAACCCTGCTGCTAGTAATGTCAAAGGAAACAGATTAAATTTCTCTGCCTGCTTAATGGCTTCAGTAAAGGATCAAAATATGCACTTCTAAACAGATGTGCAGGTGGCAGCTTTAAAGAATTCCATCCACTGAAGATATAAAAACATTTTCTTTGATCTTCCATTCTGCATGTCTTGAAGGCTTAAAAATGCTCTTCAGAACCCTAAGCTAACTTTTTTCTTATCCACGTTTTATGAATGAATATTTAAATTAACAAGAATACATCAAGTGGTTTAAAAATAAGTTTTATTCTTTAATGAATGCTCCTAGAGCTGATGAAATAAGTACCTAAGAATACTTAAATAACCTAGGAGGAAATACAAAAGTATCCTAACCATCTAATTGGAAACAAATTATGTTAATTTCTCTTATTTTAACCCACTGTCTTTCAGGAAATGTGGAAAGCCGCACTTCTGATGCTTCTCCTATCATAACTGCTAATGATGAAGGAACCTAACTGTAAGTAGAAACTATCAAAAGATGCTTCTTCCTAACAATACGGCTTGCAACTAGTTTCAAGTATTCTTAGGGATTTCACTTTTCTAGTAATGAGAACTGCTTTGCATATTTTTAATTTCCAGTCAAACTGGGAAATATAAAACCTTTTCTTGGGGTAAGAAAGAGTAAAACTGGTTTTCTGTAAGCACCAAATCTGCTTTTTATACAATCCAGACAGATTTTGTAGTTTTTCTGCCAGTTCCAAATCTGCATCTTGTCACGTCGTTGTCTCTGGGACAGCTGTCAACAGGACATTCTCCAAGGACACAGAGGAATCTGTATAGTGCTGTAGTGCAGCCTTGTATCCTCGATGTTGTAAATATCTGATCCGTCCGTGATCAATCACAAGTTTACAGAGGGAACCTATCTCCTTCCGCTCTTCAACAGTAAGGAGCCTAGTTTCACAGAGAGGGAAAAAAAAAACAACACAACAGAATGTGTTAGGAGAATAATTTTGTTAATTAACATTAGCAGTTGAACTTAGAAAGACTACTAAAATCAGTATATTTTCACTTCAAATCAGGCAAGCATATGTAAATATTTACGTTCATGAAAATTCTATTTATAAAGTAGAATGTTTCTATAGAATAAGTAATTATATTGCTTCTGTAAAATGAGTTATTTCAGAGACCCAAACCAATTTCATGTTCCAATATCCATAATTCTGATTTTTGTAAGAGTTTTTATGCTAGAAAAAAAAAAGAAATCACATACCCTTGTAGAGCATCAGAACCAGTCCCTGTTTTACTGTATATTTGGTCATGCTCTTCTGTGTTGGTAGTGTGATCTTCACTTTCTTCATTTGTAGAGGCTTTGGTTATGGTTCCTCTCATGCCACAAGTGGCCCAGCTACTCATCCTTTGAAAATAATGAAATTCTACTGGTCCAAGTCCTACTGATCTAAAGAACTCTCTGCCTACATAATGTGTCCAGTCACATTTGTGATGGCAACACAGCGCAATAACAATTCCAGCTACAGGCTTAAAGTCTTCTTTGTTCCTTTCATTGTCATCATCATTTGAACTGTTAGAAGCTCCTTCTGCCTTATTCTTTGTACGTTTTGGTGCAGGCTCTTCATCTTCTTCATTACAGCAAGTTGCATAACTTTCTACCAAACATCTCAAAGCAAGATCTGGGAAAAAAAAAAGAAAAAAAAAAAAGAGAAAGATACAGAAAATAAGAGCAATGAATGTACACCTTGCCTTCACTTACATAGGCTATATGGCTGCTGGGAACATGCTTCCCTCAAAGAACGAAAGTGCATCACAAGCCAAAAAGCAACAACTTTGAGGATAGCTAAAAATAAGCAGCATACTGTGAAAGGATGAAAACTTCATATGCTAAATGAATATTATGAGTCCTGCACAGCTATTAAGTTCTTATTCTCTTCAGTCTTTCTTCTACCCCAATCAGGCTGAAATATTTTGATTACCAGACTGGCATACTTATCCTTCTTTAGAAAGCATGCAAATATTGCTCTAAAAGTTTCACATCCAGGACACACTCTCTTTAATAAATATGCTTCTTAATGTCCAAATGTTTATGCTTCTTAATAATACATACACTTCTTAAATGTTTAACTGTGTCATCTTTGCAACAATACCTTCATAAGCTTTATACATGAGAGGTCTTTCTCAACTTAGTTAAGCATGTAACATTAGGAAAAGTGTAATGGTTTAAAATTATCAGGACAGAAATAAAAGTTCTTATTGTTTGCTTGGGATATGCATTCAGACAGAGCCAATATACATTTAGAAAGAAAAATACGTTAGGGTAGAGATGATGGTGCAAAAAAGAACATACTCTCAACCACTGACAAATACATGACCCATGCCCCACACTATCCTTTGGTCTACTCCGTAACAAACTAGAAAGGTTTTGCTTCTGTCTAAAGTAAAACTTGTCTACTATTATCCATTTTTCTGTTCTATTATAGTTAACAGATATTTAGAATAGAATTTCTGTATTCACCAACAAGTAGTTACAGGGAGAGGAAAGTGTAACTATTTGGAAGATCATTCCCTTCGGGATGTAGGGCTTAATATCCTGTTGTCCTGTGGTTAACACATATCATGCATACCTGTGGCAGCACCACACAAATGTTTCCCAATTCCTACCACTGGTAGTTTTTTCTTCTCTAAAATAGGCACCTTATCTGAAAAATAAACAAAATGAAATGCACAATGACCTGTATTACGTTAGTTGGGCAAATACTTGTTCTGGATAATTTTATTTCAGCACATTTAACAAATAAATGTTTACCAGTACTAAAAATGCAGTGGTTTGTACATAGAGTTATAAGCTATTGAAAAGATACTATTTTAAAATGAAAAGCAGCAGATTCTGTGTCTGAGAAGCATATGGTTAGGTTATTCTTTAACATCTCAGCCCTGGCAAAAAGCAAAGAATCTATTTTAATGCTGTTAGGAAGCAACAGTATTTTCTTCCCAAGCAGCAATAAGCAAGCAGCAGTAAAATGAATACCGGAGAACTCTGGAATTATCTGTGGCTGAGAAATTAGCTCCAGATAAAAGGTTATTTAAATACTTTGCCTTTTATTAAAATGCAGGATTGGAAATGCAGGATTTTGCATTTAAGCTAAGATAAATTTATCCATTTAACTTCTCCAGTCTTCCCATACTAACTATGAAGTGCGAGCATGACATCAGTGCAGCTCCTGAAGAGAGCTGTTCCTACATACTCCATAGTAGTGATTTGAGTATCATGCAGTGATACACACAACTACACAACTTATTTCTTTCTGCACACGTAAAACTAAGGTGTATAAACATGCAACTTCTAAAAAACAACAGTGTATTTCTTATTTTGGTGTTTTCCACCTATAATTCTAAAAAGCAGAAAATTTCAGATTCTCGCTTAATAATTAAAATTGTTACTTTTAATATATATGCACTGTTGATGTGTCCAAGCAACCACTGAGAACCTGATACACATAAACACGCTACATACTAATTGACTTGATATCCAGTATTCACTTCTAAAATAAAGCCTCTATTTCAGAGGTATAAAGGTCAAGAAATAACTTACTTAAACATAAATGCTGAATATCAACTTGAAGCCTTTCAAATATAGAATCTCTCTTTTTATGTTTTCCATCCACCTGTGTAAATAAAACAGGATAATTAAATAGGGCTGTCTGCTAATAATTACAGCTTTGCTGCAGCTCTTAGTGACCAGCTTTAGTAACTTTTGAAGTTAATTTCCAACATTAAGACAGCAAGAATTTTTTCTAATAAGTGTACTATTGGCAAAGTATGGAACGCACACAATCACACTTGTAGAACTTGTAATGTTTTAAAGACTTCATGTTATTTTGGAAGATGCAAAGCAAATGTTAACAGCTTTGATGACAACTGTTTAAAAATTATACTCTGCTAATGTGACAATATCCTCTTTTACCTTGAATCTGGTAGTTGCCCTTTCTACAAGCAAAAATTGAATATTTTCAGTATCTTGTAAGGCAATATCAACCCAGTGAGACAGCTTTCCTCGCCCAGCTCCAAACTCAACGAAACATCTTCCTGGACCAAGCAAATGTAATTTTTCCATGTTACCTAAAATAGAAGCCTACAAATATCAAAAGATTATTTATGAGCCATGCAAATATATGATGATGCCTGATTAAAAAAAAATCATTATTCCACCAAACTGCAGAAAACTTTTTCAAGTCCTCCTTCCTGGACAGATTAGGAAAGAGATCCTGTGTGCACACAGGAAAAGAATTATAATTTCTGGCTAATGAGCATTACCCTGCCACAGAACTCCACATAGTAACTCCAATTTATCTTAAGTCAATATAAAAATGTATAAATGAAAGCTCAGAAGAACCGCACGTTCTACTTCAGTAGCCTAGTTAGCCATTACTAACACCTAGCAAAACAGCTGTTCTTTTATATATATGTGCTAATATTTGAAAAGGTTTATATATATATATATGCTAGTATTTGAAAAGCAGAGAATTATAAAGCATCAGATTTACTCTATAAAGTATCTAACACTGTGCACATGCAGCCATTAGAACGGTTACACCTTTCTAGAGACATCCATACCAGTAGCCATACCTGTTGTTTCAAGTGTTTGAAAGCAGAGTCCCCGTTCTTTGGGTCATTTAAGGCTTCCTCTAAAGCCTGGTGAGAGAGTACTTGTCCTTTAAGGTCAAGTTCCAGACCTGCACACCAAGGCAGAATTTTTCAGTATAGGTTTGAAGTGTTTCTGGTTTTGCAACACATGTTTCAAAACTCATGTTCATGGTATTTTGCAACTCATATTCAGATACAAGCTCAAATTATGGCAGGAACAAAATAGCCTTTTGGGAGCCTATCACTGTAACTTTGTAACAGAAATATATATTTTTTTATCTGTAGTGGTTTTTGAGCGGAAAACAACAACAACAACAAAAAGCACAGAAGGAAGTGAAAGCAGCTATATGGACAAAAGATCAAAGTTCTATCTTTGCTTCAACCTAGTTTATTCCGCTGAGTAAAATGTAGATATTAGAGGATTGCCTACATCTTAATTACTTCAGATTTGTCCAGTATCAAGTTCATCTCATCTTTTCATAAATATTTAACAGCAAAAATAACAAGGAGACATTTATTCAAAATGTATTATTTTTAGTGTTAGGTGAGCTCACCATTACTTGCTTTTTTCAACTTGATAATTAAGTTCTCAAGCTCTTCTTTGGATAGGGAAGAGAGAGTTACCTTTAAGGAAAAAACACAAAGGCAGGAATTTTTTTTTGCCAGTTTTTTAGTCATACCATAAATGGCAGTATGTTATGTAGGGCAAAAGCTTTAGAACAAATGAATGTACTCACTTGATTTGCTGGTATTTCTGCTACTTCTTTTACACCTGCATTAATATCTTGAACAAAGTAGACCTTTAAAAAGCAAAGAAAACCAATCTGATTCTATTTATTACTCTGAAGCAAAAACTTAATTTCTTCAGTGCTTTCATCATACCATACACAGCAACAGGAATCCACTGCAAAAGAAGAGATTCCAAAAGAAAAAAAACCTATTTTCCTGAAGTCTAATCCTGAGTCCCCAGCAGAAGTTAACTGTTCTAGCACATTTTTACAAGATTAAACATGTTAATAAGAACTAAGCTGTTAATGCTTTCTAGGCTGGTCACAGTGACCACAGCTTTACAACTGCAGCAGTTATTACGTTGTCTTGGAACAGCTGCCGAAACATGCATCCTATCCTATTCATTCTTTTAGCACTGCCTGCATCTGTCAGCCAAGCTTTCCATGACACTGCTAACCTGCACAAAGCTGGCAGGACTGGGTTAGGAGAGCGCCAGAGGTAAGGAAACATCTTCAGCTCCCTTTTAGTTTTGTTTTTCCAAGGCAAAATGAGAGCTGTGCCACTGCGAGAGACCACTCAGAGAACACTTTTTTGTGAAAAAATCCATTCCACGTTTTCATTTATAACTAAGAGAATCTAAAGTTATGCCAAACTACAGTAGAAGGGGATACAGCAGACAGGGAGCAGAAGCGAATTCCATTTCAGATCAACAGGTGCTCTCCTGCCATGCTGTGCTGCCTGCAACCGCTGGGCCTTCCCTTCCCTATGGCACTGCAGGGGCTGCTGCACAAGGCTGTCATGGGCAGGGCTGCACAGCTGACAGACACTCACCGGCTTTGGCTTCTCTCTGGAATTACATTTTTTTAAATGTTTTTGTAGTTGGTCTTCATACACGGTACTGAAATCCAAAGAGAAAGGAAAAGCAAGTCACACCAGTTGTAGTGAGATCTCTGATGTTTAAAAATGTATATATATATTCTGCATATACTTACTGTTTCGGATCAAGAGGGCACGGAATTCTTTTCCTGTCATTTTCTTTCTGGTTAAGAAAGTTTTAAACAACAGGTCAGCGTGCATTCAGTGCTCCTGTCGTACAGAAGCTGCTGAGGAACATCTGAGAATCTCAAACCATCTATTCAGGGGGGTCTGGAGAAACAGGGCCGGAACCGAACGCTCCAGCAGATCCCAGACCCGTAACTGACGGCGACGCCGCCGCAGGGCCGAGCCGGCTGTCCGTCCGTGCGGGACCCGGGCTGCCCCTCCCCTCGCCCCGGCACGCGGTACCTCCTGCCGCCCGTGCTCCCCGCAAAAGCGTCTCCCGGGCGCCGGGACCATCTTGCAGAAGCGCCTCTTCCTCTGCACGAAGAAGGCGCACCGCCCCGGCAGCAGGCCAGCCCCGGAGCCCGAGCCGCCGCCGGCCGCCTCCTGCTCCGCCATTTCCTTCCCGCCGCACCCCGCGCGCGTTGCCGGGCGCCATCTCGAGGCCCCTCCTCTGCGGGAGCCGAGCGCCAAACTCAAAGCGCAAGATGGCGGCGGAGCTCCTGTTCAACCGCGAGGTGTGCGTGCAGGCGCGGGGCCAGGGCTGCGAGGAGAGGTGAGCGGCGGGCCAGGGGTAGCCGGGCGTCGTCTGCTCGCTGCGGGGAGGTTCTCGTGTCCCTTCTGGAGGAGTTCTCTTTTCGCTCCTCGCTCTCTCTCGTGTCCTAGTGATCGTGGGCCGCGGTCCTGCCGCGAGGCCGCCGATGGGGCCGATGAAGGGAAGGACTCGTCGAGAGTGGGCCTGGAGGCGTTCCGCGGCGTTGGAGCGGCTCTTACGGGCCTCTTAGAGAGACCGGAGCGGCAGCGGGTTGGGGGCGGAGGAGTAACGGCCTGAGGGGCGGCGGGGCCGCGTGGGTTGCGGCCCGAGCCCGGAGCCGTGGGCCTGCCGCCGGGCGGCGTTCAGCGCGTCACCAAGGCGCCGCCGTTACCCCACGGCCGCCCGCCTTCTGCCGGCGCCGCTCCGCCGCCTCCGGGAGGGTTTCGGCGCCCGGTGCTGCCCGCAGCGCTCGGACAAGGCCGGGCACGACACCCCGTGGTCGGATCGCTTCTGCGCACCGCGGGCGGTTGTTCGGGGCTCCTCAGGGAGCGGCAGCCCGCGCGCGGCCGGATGCGCGGGTTTCTTTGCGTGAAATGCGTTGAGACGTAGAGAATTTCCCTGCCGTGAGTCTTAGCCGCGACACGCTGTGCGTGCGGGATCGGAGCGGCTCCGGCCTGAAGCGCTGAGCTGCGGGAGCTGCGCGACGGCGAGGAATCGGGGCTGCAACGGCCGTGCTGCGCTTCTGCGAGCGGCGGTAAATGTAGGCAGGATTTTGCAGAATTGCCGGTTTTGGAAAAAAGGTTCAACGCTTCTGCACTGCTGCTTGAAGTTTATGGGTAACGAGCAACAAAGCTGCAAACAAAACCGAAAAGCCCTGAGCTGACTGAGGAGCTGTGCTGGTAACTCCCGGGCAGCTCAGAGGCAGTCCTCAGTTCTTGACGTTTCTGCCAAAATGTCTGAATGCCTCCCGATTCCTGCAGCCTAGCTGTGTACTCGTCTTTTGAAGACCGTTTCCTTGGTTTATTAACGAGTTGCACCTTTCTATACGCAGGAGATTAAATGTTCGAGTGAATATTGAGCTGCTGTCAATTTCTAGCCCTGTTCATAAAAAGGTTTGTGGATTAGTTGTATTTGTGTTTTGCATTGTTTTATCTGTATTGCTTTATATGGTGGGACAAATAGGCAAAGGGAAAGCAGAATAAGATGTTGGTCTGTTTGTCATTTGAGTTCTGTTCTTCAGAAACTTTAAGATTAGAAGCACGTGGGGACCTTTGGAGTAGCTTAAGGGCACGTCTGGCCCTGGCTCTTATTTTGGGGTGTAGGGCACCAGCAATCCTTGCAGAGACCTCTCCTTGACTAATGAGAATGACAACTGCTGTGTGGGTGCAGCATCTTGTTTTGTATCACTGTGTGTGCTGCTGTCCTTGAATGCTTGGAATTAATCCAGTGGGGCAGGAAAGAAATAATAAGAAATAATAATTAACACAGTCTTAGGAAGTCAGCAATAAAATAACTCTTGAGGATTATAAAATCTGTTTTATGTCTGATTTGTCACTTCAACTGTATTTCTACCTATCAGGATGTTTACGAGCGGTCATTAGTTGATGGTAGAGTTAATGAAGAAAGGTTGGTGTGTGAGTGCAGCAATTTATTGTTATTTGTTAAAGCTTTTGCTAATTGCAGCAGTGGTAATGCTGTGAAGAAACTGTTCAGCTAAGTGCTCTGTGCCGTGTCTCAGCCTGTACGAGCGGGAGCCTTGACAGCCTCGTGCACACAGCAACACTAAGCAGATAATGCCCTGTGCTCTGATCAGTTCATGGCATGTGAAGCCAAGCAAGGTTCTTATCCTTCCCAGCAGCCTGTCCAAGTGGTTGTGTGCCATCAGCAGTTCTAGCTGCTAGCTCACCTGTAATTGCTGAGTTTGTTTTTAAAGCTCCAAGAGCTCTGGTTATTGTTAGCAGTACCTGAATTACTGAAATGTATTTCTGTTCTGTGTGTGAGTGATGGTCACAGTGCAGCCCCGTTGGAGGAGCTGGTCAGTTTTCTGTTTGTTTGACTTTCTCTCTGTTGGGGCGTATTAAATTCTTCACGTAGGTTTGAGCAGCTGGCAGGTACTGGTTGTACCTGGTGTTTTTTATGGCCCCGGCTTTGTAATGAAAGGCTAATGTTGACAGAGAAGGCAGCTCTTCCAAAATGCTGTGTAGATTTCCAGTGAACGGATGAGTTCATTTTTAAAAGCTAAGCAGCATAATGCTGCAATGTTCCCCATGAGTGCGCCAGATTCTAGTGGTACCAATTTTGTTTGCTTTGCTAAGCTCTGTATTCAAACAGAGGGGCTGCTCAGAAGGTGTTGTCTCTAATTGCTAGGAGCAGTGTGAGCTAACAAGCTGGCAGTTATGGGAGTGATTGTGTTTGTGATCAACTGCTCACTCACAAATGGGATCTGCACACTCGTTAATGATGGGAGGAAAAACTGCAAATAATTTGCAAATAATTTTCTTTATGTAAAATAAGACACATAGGATTTTGAAATATTGCTGCTGAAAGTTGAATGATTTTTGCGTTATTTTTGTGAGAAGCAGTTTTCCTGAGTTGTTGCTTTTTCCCCACAGTATTATTTAAAATGGAGATCATGTTAAATGTTGATGCTTTCTCCTAAATTAGTTGTCACAATTCTTGTCTTACTTTTAGTTAAAAAGTAATAGTAAGCAGGCTGTTTGCAATACTGCTTTACAATATTTGAACAGACGGAGTGGTGTGTGGAATTTGACATCGTATTTCACTCTCTTTTCAGGATTTGGCTGTGAGACTGACTGATGATGCTGATCCTTTTTTCCTTTATAACCTTGTCATATCTGAGGAAGATTTTCAAAGGCAGGTGAAGTTGTAATGTTTGTGAGTGCTTAAAAATGGTCATAAAGAATGAAATAAAGCTTTCAGCATGTAAAGATTTGTCTTTGAATTTGATTTCTAGCATTTTTCACTTGTGGATTGCTGCCTGTATTTTGGCAGTGCTGCTCTCTCCTGCTTGTGGAACGGCACAGTGCAGGGCAGTGAGCGGCTCAGCGTGGTGCGGATGTGTCAGAACCGGACACGCAGCTCCCTGCGCGGCTGCGGAGCCGCAGCCCGTCTCGCTCCCTGCCTCTTCTGTCTACCCAGCTGCTGCTTAGAGATTGTTACGTTTGTGTGCTCTCTTAAGAACATATTCCAAGGGGAAAGTATGCTTGCATAAACACAGATGTACAGACTTGAGGCCTTGTCTTCTGAATTTTTTTTTTTTTTTTTGCATTCTAGTTGGGCACCACATGCAAACAGTTGAGGTCCTTTTTCCTTTATAAAAATAGCACACCATATATGCATGTGATCAGTGTGAGGCTCCAAGTAAAAGTTGTTTTTATAGACAGATGAGCAGAATTCATCGTATCATTATTCAGTCGTTTCACAAGGTACGGCTTCTGCATGCACTCTGCAAGTCTTTGAGTTCATTGCATCTGTGGTGAAGGTGTGCAATTAAGCGGGCAAGTGGGCAGGTGGTGTCTGTAGCAGCTGAGCATCCCCTCATCTGGGAAGCATTGTCCTTTGGTGCCCCATGTGCCCCTGTGCTTAAGGAGGACGTGCAGCTGAAGGAACACTTGTTATAACTTTCCTCTGTGCAGCGCATTTGCAAGAATTCTTGAAGCTAAAAGTATCTTGGATAATAATTAGCAGAGGATGGGATTGCACTTCTTCAGTGATCAGGATTGAAAATAACACGTCAGACATTTATGACATGATCAGAATTGGATCAATCTACTTGTGTAAACAAAATATTTTATTTTTAGGAAAGAAATTACATTTGGACACATTGCTAATATTTTTTCCCTGTTTATGTAGTTTAAAATCCCAGCAAGGTCTCTTGGTGGATTTCTCTGCTTTCCCACAGAAGTTTATAGATCTGCTTCAACAATGCATTCAAGAACAGAACAAAGATATCCCCAGGTGGGTAATAAGAGTACCATATTACTCTGTGCACGTGTTTTGAGTTTATCACATTTGTCAGTGGAACAGGGATATAATCTAACCTTTCCCTGAAGCATCAGTTGGTTGGGTGTTGCTGACAGAGCCTGAATGTTAAGAAGTCTCAGCAGTGGTGTTGCTGCCTGATGATCGCCTCCTTAGCAGACTTGGAGCTAGCAGACGTGCAGGGACGCAGCACTGGTGTGCTGGGAAGTGTTGGACAGTAATGGACAGGAGTACAAACAGATCGTCCTCTTTCGCAGGAGAGCAGAGTAACAAGGCATTCTGACAAGAACTTTCTCTTGCTTTCATTTCAGTGTTCAGATATAAAAAGGGAGGGGGCAGACCTGAGGTGCACTCCTGTGTGTCGTGGGCTTTGTGTATATGGTTTGGCGTGCGGGTGCTGAGGAAGTGCAGTGCAGCACACGTGGCTCCAGTAGTTAGGGCAGCTCCTGCAGTGCTGTGCAGTGTGAACTTAACTGGCTGATAGGATACCTGAAAGTGAGGGAAAGCCTTTGGGAAAGGCCTGATCTGGTTTTGGAGAGAGTCTAAGAGGGGCTTCTGAAAGTTTTCAGAAGCTCAATACTCTTTTTTTTTTTTTTTCCATCTCTTGATAAAATAGACAAGCATTCCAGTTGGTAATTATTTATAGGAATTAAATGTCTTTGTCCTTCTCAAAACAAACACAACAGCCTTTTATTGTATGTATAACAATGTATTTTATTTGAAAACAGCTTGTAGTATCTACAGCTTCAGTAACAAAAATGTTACATGTTGGGTTATTTTTGTTTTCCCCCAGGTTTTTGCTGCAGTTAGTTTCTTCAGCATCTGTTCTAGATCACACACCTGTCTCTTTAAATGTAGTGGAGACCAACCCTTTCAAACATCTTACCCATCTCTCGCTAAAATTCCTACCAGGAAATGATGCAGAAATAAAGAAATTTTTAGCCAGCTGCTTGAAGTGCCTGAAGGTAAAGTGAAGATTGCCGTGGCTGCAACAAGGCCTTGATGCTATGTGTACTTAGGAATGGTTTTTCATACTTTTTTCAGTCTTATTACTTCAAAAGTATGCACAGAACTGTGTAGTTCGGTTTGTTTTTTTTTTAACTCAGTTCATGTATGTCACTGCATGCACTCATTTGGCTGCCTGTTATCAAATTAAATTGTTCATTTCACTCTAGCAATGAAAATCTTACATACGCACTCAACCAAGTGCTGTAAGTTAAACTGGCAGAAAATCAGGTGTTTTACAGACACGTGTGCTGCTCAGCTGTTGAATGCTTCATCATCTTGTGCTGATTGCCAGATCAACGGCAGAAGTGCCACCCTGTGAGCTTTCTGCCTCTTCTGCAGCTGAGTGTAGGAAATCACGGGTGTGTGCGCGTCATTCTGAGGCTCCATGGACTTCAGAGGGCTGCTGGCTCTGAGCAGCAACTCACAGTGTTGGTGCAGCTGACAGCATGCTAGTCTGAACACAAAATCAGTGATCTATTGTAACTGTTGTCTTTCATAGCCTGGTTCACTGTGCTGTGATGTTGATAGCCACCTAACAAGCCATCTTAACCAATTACATTCTCAGTATTTCACTTATCTATTACTAATAGAACTGCTTTGTAAACAAGTCTTTATAAGATTCTGTTCCCTTATAGAGGTTTGATTGAAAGCATAATGCAGGATATTTTCCTTGCCTTTTTCTCTTGAATGTACATCTTATGGCTAATTCAGTACAAAGTTTGTTTCATAAGATGCTTTTTCCACAAATACTGTGTCTAAGCAGCTACATACCCACTGTGTGATGATAAAGTGGAAGCTGAATACTGATATTTTGGGAGCTAAGATTTAGTCTTGATATCGATTTTTACATAGGAGGACAAAATGACATTGGAACAAAAGCTTAGGAAAACTGAAGAAGATTCTACCAGACAACTGAGCTACACTCAACAGGTAATGTACATTTTAACTGTCCGTGTATTCCGTGAATGGGTGGAAATCCTTAGATTTGCAAAAATTGTGAAACATAACTAAATCAGAAGGCTTGCAGATTATGCTGCTCTGCTTTTTGATTTGTTTTTTCATAGTCAGCTCAGTGGTGGTTTCGCATTTATGCTTTGAAAGGATGATGATAGCTGTGGGTCAGACTGCACAAGTATGAAGGTGGCTTTTTGACCAACATGACACAGGAAAAAAATTCCATTAAAACTCCTATCGTGGAGATTTTTTGTGTAATGGAATACTTACTTACCTCATCTTTGCAGTTTCTGTGCAACTGGGGCTACTAGATGGCTGAATTGGAAGGGAGAATTACAAATTGAAGAGGGAAAGAGAATTCTGATGACCTTGGGTTTTTTTCTCCCTCCCTATGAGAGCAGTTTGTTTAAAACTTCTACAAGATACAGCGCTAGGAACAGCAGCAGATTGTTTTATCGCTCCTAAGTTGGAAGAAAATAGAACTGGAAATGAAGGTTACTGTACTCGACAAAGTCAAAAAGCTGCAGTTGAGCTTTTCAGTACCTCATTTTTCTGTCGATACAACGATACCTTGGCTCTTTCTGCTGAAATACAGACTAAGCAGTAACAGTAAAGAATTGTTTGGTATTTAATGAAAGGCTGCATTCTTAAAATCTATGACACTTTTTCTAAAATTCTGAACGGTTGTTGAACTTGAACAGAGCTTGTCAGAGAAGAGCCGAGAACTGGACAAACTGAAAAATGAATGGACATCTTACACTGCTGCTCTGACAAGCAAACACACACAAGAGCTGACAGCTGAGAAGGAAAGAGCTCTCCAGGTATGACAGTGGAAAAGAATTCACAGTATGCTGATGTGAGCAGTTTCTTTGCTTAATCTTCAGTTTCACTGAATGACCGTTCTCATTCTAGGCACAAACTCAGTACCAACAACAGCACGAACAACAGAAAAAGGAATTGGAAAGTTTGCACCAGAGGAGTATTCAACAATTGCAGAACAGACTCTCGGAACTTGAAGTCATCAATAAAGATCTAACAGAAAGGAGATACAAAGGAGACTCTGCGGTCAGAGAACTGAAAGCAAAGCTCTCTGGAGTTGAAGATGTATGGCTTATTAATTTCCCTCACCAAGATGATGATTTTGAGAGCAGTGAGGCTGCCTGCCTCTGCTTGGAATAGAAAATATAGCGTATTAAGTGTGACTTTTTTCTACTTTATGCTAACTATAATTTATAGATATCTTTTTAGATTTGCTTTCAGCTTATTTTTTTCGTTAATGAATGTTAACCGATTCCTTCCCAACATTCTAGGAATGTCAAAGAGCCAAGCAGGAGGTGGTGTCACTGCGTCGAGAGAACAGCACTCTGGATGCTGAATGTCACGAAAAGGAGAAACTCATTAACCAGCTACAGACCCGGGTTGCTGTTCTGGAGCAAGAGATCAAAGACAAAGATCAACTGGTTATTAGAACAAAAGAAGTGCTGGATGCAACACAAGAACAAAAGGTTCGAGTTTCAGAATCATTATTTCTAAAGCTCTGTAGAACCTTGTTAACTGAAGTCTCTCAAGGTTTCTGGATAACCAGACTACTGGTGCAGCAAGGAAGCTTACAAATGTAGTTAAAGATGCTGAATTATGGCATCCAAAGTCTACTGGATTCAGTTTGATGAAGATGGCTCCTGTTGCAATATTTTGTGGTACTGCTTGTAAAAGTGGGTGAATTGAGAGACCTCTATGTAATTTAACCAAAAATCATGGACTGATTGTAAAAGAGTTGCTGAGGTTCTATTTACAGTTCTAAGTGGTGTATGTTCCATAATCCATATGGAATTTATATTGTTACAAAACATTTCTAATTCTTTTGTAGGCGATACTGGAGGAGAATACAGACAAAAAACGAAGTCATATTGAAAAGCTTGAGACAACAATTAAGTCACTGTCAGCTGAACTTCTTAAGGTTTGTTGGAACTGCCATTCATTTGCTTTGTCTTGCACTTTCAGGAATTACTTTGAAAATACTCTTTTTTTGTAGGCTAATGAAATTATCAAGAAGTTGCAAGGAGATTTGAAAACCCTAATGAGTAAATTAAAATTGAAAAATACAGTAACAATTCAACAAGAGAAACTATTAGCAGAAAAAGAAGAGAGACTTCAGAAAGAACAGAGAGAACTGCAGGAGGCTGGACAATCTCTTCGAATGAAAGAGGAGGAGGTACTGCGATGGGTTAACCTGCATCCTGCACGTGTTACTGGATGTAGGGCAGTTGGTCGGTGTGTTTAAAAGCCTTGAAATATTTGTTAACAGCAATGAGGTCTTAATTTTTTTTTTTTTTACGTAAGAATTTACTCTTATGCACTTAATGTTTAAATGCAGAATCGACATTTCATTTTTTTCATGTTAAACTGACTTGCGAGAGAGATTCATCCACATGCAAGAAAATTAAAATCCTATTGTTGGGGGTACAAAGCAACGTATCAAATGGACTGATAGGCTTCAGAAGGTATATTCATGGGAAAAGTTTGTGATGGAGGCCAGAACAGTAACAGAGTGAATTTCTCCCCTGCTTAGGGCCCATTCCTTATTTAAACATGGCAAAATGAAGGTCAGAAAGGTTTCCAGTTGCAGTCTTGTCCTAAGTCCAGCTAGAAACAGTTTATTTCAGAAGAGCTATCATACTGATTCTGCATAAAATTGAGTTCTAACTTCTTTAAGTAACTCTAGAACTTCTCTGATCCTTCACTTCTTATTTATACGATAATTTTTCTCGAGTTTTTAATGAGTACTACACTTATTGATGGTTTTATAATTAGCATGGTGATATTGCAGGTTTGCAAGTTACAAGAACAGCTGGAAACTACAATGCAGAAACTGGAAGAAAGTAAGCAGTTATTAAAAACCAATGAAAACGGTAGGTTGATAGTATTTTATCTGTAAAATGATATGATGATTAAGCTGCTACTGACAAGTAATGGAAGGCGACTTTACTGAGATGTCTGCTTGCTTTGTTGTGAAGAGTCGCACTTCCCTCACACTGTTGCTTTTCTGTGAGGAAGGGCTTGACCTTTTTTCCATCTCTTCAGTAATCACATGGCTAAACAAACAGCTGAATGAAGTTCAGATGGTGAAGAAGATGGAGACTCCCAGCAGCACGCATGGTGGCGTTAGGACTGCCCTGTCACCTCACGGCATGGTAAGATACGAGTGCGGATAACACTCCTCATTTCTTCAAATGCATGGCCTAGAAAAAGCCTTTTTTCTTTTAATCCGGTATTGGCAGTTTGTTTTGCTGTTATGACATCAATGGTCCCTTGAGTGCTTGCGGAGGTGCTGGCCCTAGGGGTTATTTTTGAAGCTCTTACTTAAAATTCATCTAGCAATGCTACAGCTAGCTTTGAGAATGTAAAGCGTGGGATGAAAACAAAACAGACCCTCAGTGTTTGTGTTGTGCATGCTTTGAAATCCATACGAAAATCATTAGTGAATTTTAGGTTTGGATTATTTTGGATTTTGGATTGGATTATTAGGGAGATTTACAAATGTGAGAATACAAAATTAAAAAAAAACAAACACCTCAGACTATTTTTGTTAAGAACAAAGATAGCTTAATGCTTCCTGTACTGTTTTGTCCCTGTGTGTACAATGTCTGTCTGTTAGCAACTAATGAGTTTCTTAGTAATGGAAGGGTATATTCAAGCAAAGTCTGACTTACAGATAAATGCCTTCTAATTGGTTAATATATTAAGTATGACTTCTTTTAGCATAAGCTAAAATAGCAGCATAAGTTAAAATAGTAAATATATTACAAGTTTTAAAAAGCTACCGTTTTCCTTAAGAACAGACTCTTGGAAAAGGTTTGTTTTCCCTCTCATTAGAAAGACTAACCTGGTTTAAGTGTTAACTTTGCAGATGTGGCTACTGTTCAGCAAATGCATTCCAGTCATTGTTCTTCTCCTTTACAGATGTATTCTACTTCTCTTACTAATGCATTCTTTCTCCACAGCTTGACCGACCTTCCTTTCCCAGCTCAGGAATCACTCATCCCATCTCTCCCTTCTACGCCTTCCAGAAGCTGGCAGAACCAGCGCGTAACAAAAACACCAGCCCCCACTGCCCAGTCCCAAAGGTAGGCATTTGGGCTTCTCTGACTGAGAATGTAACAGCTTAAAAGCATCAAAGCTGCTGCTTCTGAATCTTTCTCAGGATGCATTAATACTTACTGTACATCCCAGCCCTGCTTAATAGGGGACAGTATGATTACTAGTCAGCATGCTTTTCTGTCCTTCAGTGCTGTTCAAGGTAAGGAGAACTGAATCCTCACAAAGCCTTCTCTGAATACCAGCTGCTGCTGCACCATCGTGTCTGGAATAGCTCTATGTAACCTGCAATTCCTTTGTTTCTGCAGATCCAATTTAACTCACAGGTCTCAAAAATAGATCAGCATTCAGACGTTCAGGCAGTGACTGCAGCAACTGGCCATCCAGCAAATAAGGAAAAGTAAGTATCATCCATTACATTTCTAGCTGCTTTTTCCCTCTTTTATAGCGCCCTTTGTCCTGTGTGGGTATCTGGAATTGTAAAAACACTTCCAATACCAAGCTGTTTCTTTGAGCTGCTTTTTGTCACTCCCATGTTTATGAATTCGAGTTGTAGTCAACTTCCTGCTCACTAAGCTTGGTTCGTACACAACAAATGAAGACTTGCTTTACAGGAGGACGTCCTGCATCAGTCTGTCCCTTCTGATGACAAGCCTGTGGCTACCAGCTGATAGTCAGACCACTGGCTGCAGATGGTTCTCATTTGCTCAGTCATAGATAACAGCTGAATGATAAAGTTCATAAAAACTCTAGTTCTACTTCAGTTTTTTGTTGAATGAGCCTCTATCCACCATTGCTGCTCATTTGCTGTTAACTACGTTTTGTTTTATTTCAGTGGCAATAACTTGGGGCTGGAATCCAAGTATTTCAAGAAAAAAGAAGACAGCATTCCTTTACGAGGGCTTAGTCAAAACACACTTAACTCAGGTATGTTTGGAAATAGTTAAACAAGACCTTATTTGAGATACTTAGAACCGTAACTATTGTTACCCTTTATGAACACTGTCGTGTTTCTGCTCTTCTACAGAGTACTTGAAACCCTACTTACCCAAAGTCCAGCCATCACCACCAGCCGCAGTGACAACAGCCTCAGCTTATTTTCCAGGATAGTAGCCAGGGATATTAAGAATTGTCTTTTAACTGTTTGGGGGATATGAAGATGTCCTACACTGACATTAGTAAAGGTATCAGCGTGAACTGACAGTTTTATCTGAATCCATTTTCTTTGAGAAAGACACCTTATTTGGATGCCTTTTCAGCTGATTCAGAAAAGACAGAGCTTTAAGCAGCCTCAACCTTAATGGTAACACCACTGCACTTCAGTCACTGAATTAAGTGCTGGATTTTTTCCTGGTCTGTATTGTTCCAGAAAACCCAAGTAAGTGGCACTGGCTTTTTTTGCTATAGTATTTAACAAGTGTGACTCTAACCAAGTGTATTCTCTGGTATTCCCTGATAGGAAACATGATTCCTTATAAGCTTTCCTCTAGGTCTTTCACAGAAATGATGTTGCAGATAGTTTTCCAGCACTTTCTGGGCTATGTTTATTTTAATAACAGCCAAGCTTGTGAGTTAGCACAACCCCTTCTTCTCTAGCAGTTTTAATTTTGAAACCTTGCTAATTTGAATTGCATATAAATTTATAAATACTGCAATGGAAGATCCTAAATGATTTATACCTTCGGTGAAAACAAAGGTTTAAGGATCTCAGCCTGGGTTGCCCTAACTTCTTACCCATCTGCCACTATTACATTTCTAACAACCAAGCATTAAATACTGTAAGCCAATGTATCTGAACAGATGAACTAAAGCTGTCTTGTATTTACTGATCCTACTTTACAAACGTAATACTGCACAGAAATCTACTTAAACTATCCTGACATTCAAATTGCAATGGACTAAACCTATTCAGCACATTCTACTATCCAGGTTCAAATGCTAGAATCGTGTAACTATATTTCATTCTTAAATATGGCAGGCAAGTACTTGGAACACCCAAAATACACTTTTATTGCAGAGCCTGTCTACATACTTCTGTTTTTAAAGATACTTCATACCTTCGATATTTAACTGCAGCTGAGGACTGTATATTTAAGTGGTTTGTTTTGCAGTGCAAAATGTGTACATTTGTTTACAATCAGCACCGTGTTTACTTGCATCCATTTGTTTTGAAATGTACAAGCTTCTCTAGAAATATTAAACGCTTATCAAAAACTCTTAAAACATTACTTTTCAGAGTATTGAGTTACCATTTCCAGTACTGGGACGTGCCAAGGTGAGGTGACGCTTTACTCACCTTTCTGTGGACTTTGCTCCCCACGCACTGCTGCAGTACCGGCCCAGCGCTGCGCTGCACGTAGGGTCCCCGTTTGGCAGCCACCCATTTCTGAGGTGTTGTGTGCTCACACTGCTTGTTCTAGGTCAGCGTTAGTGGGTATAACAAGACTTCAAAGGATGTGAAAAGATGAACAAATTTCAGAACAGAAAGGCAGAACTGCAGTGCACTGAATGTGAACTGCCTCCATAAGCACCTATACTGATGTAGATCGTATCCATGAGAGTGCTGAGGAACTGAGGGCTGCAGCCAGTTGATGCTGCTAACCAGAACAGAAAATAGCCGTACGCTGAAGGCAGCCTTAGCTAACAAATAGAAACGCTCCAGGCTTTTCTCAGACCTACTGAATAACAAACATGCTGTATGACTTTAAGGTTGCAAATGACATGAACTATTATTTAAAAATTCATTAAAATATTCAGCTTTATTAACAGTATATTTACATATTTTTTCCTGCTCTTGGTCAACCATGGTGAATGTTCAAAGGTAAAAAAGCATTAAGCGATAACCACAAGATGAAAATGTTTTAAACCTATACAATACTTTATACACAAATTTATACAAAGGAACACTTAAATAATACAACTGGACACAAAAATATACACTTTTAGAGAAATTCACATCTGTCATTGTATAAAGCTTTCTTCTGTACTAAGGGGTCCTGAAAATTTAGGACTAAAACATTAGCTCTGTAATGTAAAAGGGTTACTGTGACAGTCCTCAAAGGCCACTATGTAGAGCACACTGACGTATCCAAGGCTATCAGCTTATAGTTCAGTCTGTATTCAAGTTTTGAGGTCCTTGTATGATTACACAAACATCAGAAATATAGTGGTATAATAAACGGTATTTATGAAAGCAGAGTTTTAGAGCCCATATTAAAATCTGCAGGCTCAAAACACCCACCTAATATTTAAACAAAAGTTTGATACTACCATTTGTTCAAAAATAGAGTAAATGCACTTACATAAAAATAACTTTCACTGTTCAGCAAGCGTGCTTGTAGTTTTTATATTAGTACAAACTTTAAACAAAAAAACAACCAACAAATCCACCATATGACTTCTTCAAAATAAATGATACCAGTTCACCTTTTCCCTACTTGAGTACATTTACATTAAGGCTTTGAATCATCTGACCCAAGATTTTACAACATTAAAATGAATGGGTCCACACGGATGCTCGTCTGTCTCACTGAGACTTAGCATGAGTGGAATTAAAGCTCACCACCTTAAGGAAACAGAAGGACACATGCTCAAACCTTGACTATATTCTTTTGTCTCCAAACTAGAATGTAAAGTTTAACAGTAACAGTATTTCATGGCAAGAGATAAGTACTTAACTTTTAAGAAAGAAAAAGCATATTATTAATGTAATGGCAACATCTTTGGAAGTTTTTTTTTTAATTTCTATAAATTTCATGCAGAAAGATAATTCTGAGGATTACCTTAAGAAACTCTTTTTGATGGAAGTGGAATGTGTATCCCAAACCGCTGATGGAAAATGTCTAAAAAGTCTTCTAGATTTTTTTTTGTCATACATTTGTGTCTTGTAGTAATGGTTCTTTAGCTTCACCAGGAGCTTGTGGACTGTGGGGATGGCCATGACTGCCACAGTGTTTCTTCCAGTTGCTGGATCGTACAGTGAGGTTGGTGTGTTCAGGAATGAACAAGGCAACAAGCAGTGCCAGCAGCACAGAGCATGCCCCAAATAAGAATGGGGGTCCAGGAATTATAGAATTCTGGAAAAAAGCAAACAGCATCAACACCAGCTATTAAGCCTTTAGATGTGTTAATGTACTAAGATGGCTAAACTATGCATTTTGTAAGTGAAAGCAGCTTTTTTTTCTTGCCACGTGTGGCAAAATGACACTTTGCCTCCATGGGGAATCTTTTAGAAGAAAGCTGGACAGATTACATCTTAGATTTAAGAGAGGGAACATGTGCCATCTACTGCTGCTGATAACTTCCTGTCCTAGGGCACGTTCTGTGAAAGAAAATAACAGCTGAGCAGTAGGAGATTTTCTGTGCTTTTGGGCATTTGCAGCTGGACATCAGCTTGTAGAGCATGCTCCTTGGGAGGCAGCAGGACAAGATTCAAGTCTAGCATCTTCTCCCTGCTGACCTGAACCCTTGCCTCTCCTCTCAAAGTGCCATTTGCCATCTAGAACTAAAACAGGTGGGAGTGCACACAATGCAACTGTATGAAAGTAGTGCAGAACAAGTTCTGTGGCCTGAACAATGAGCATTTCCAGTCACTGGCTTTCACTGCCATCGAAAAACAGTCTTAAGAAACCACCATTAACAAAAAAGTACCAAAGAAAAAGGAAATGAGGCAGAGATTCTGCTCTAAAATTAACCAGTGAAACAGAGCTAGACAGCACTGAGTGTAACAGCTGGAAATTAGCATTGCCTTATCCTGCTGCAGCCAGTACAGACAGCTGCTCTTTTTTCTTATTATCAGTTAGGAAGTAAAAAACAGAGGGCTTGGCTAAAAGACTAAGGAACACAACTACAATGCACAACATGTGAAAAGTAAATACAGTGCTAGGGAACTGCACAGGAGACAAGAAAGCTGCTACTAATCAGTCTATTTTTTCCTTTTCTTTATAAGGTCTGTTGCCTATTGGGTCTCTTTCAAAGAGAAATTAACCACGGTACCTATTTAAAAAAAAAAACTCTGTGAGAGTGATTTTAGAAGCTGTTTTTACATGCTTCATTTCCATTCAGCGTGATGAAACGTAGCACAGCATCATACTCAAGAACTAATTCTGGTTTAGGAATCAGTAAGTAAAGGAATACCTGTTGTAAGTGGTATTGTGTGACGACAGTACCTCCTGATGGCGATTCAGGCATAGGGAGTTCATTCAGTTCAACATGAAATATGTAGAATATGAAGCCATAAAGCGCAGGTCCCAAACCATTACATAAGCCTCTAATTCCCGTTATCATCCCTTGAACAACACCTGAGAACGACAACGTATGCCGTCAGCTATTAATATTCATACGTACATACACAGTGATTTTAATTAAGCCTTTTAAGCCAATGCAAGTAGGAAAAGTGTCACTGGTGCTGTACCATGGGTAGCATTAACAAGGGTACAGACAAATGGTCCTATGGTATATTCAAGGCTCTTTTTCCATGTCCCTGCAGGCCTAGAACAGTATTTCCTATGCCATGCCTATTCTGAGACCTTGTTATCAGACTCATAGCAAAGGAAGCACTGGACAACAAAGCTAACTTGCATCAAAGTAATGGAAATAAAGAGTGCAGTAGTGTCACTAAATATTTTTCTGCTGTTGAGAGTTCCTGAATGTTCTGCCTCTGGGACAGAAGGACTTAAAATGCACACACAGCTTTAACACAGCTTGTATTTTTACAGTTTCTGAGCTAGGCTCAAGCGCATGGGCTACCATGGTAATGGGTGAGTCGCTAGATACATTCGGCTTCATGGATTTCTTTGACTGGAATTCAGAGGGTTAAGGAACACCTACCTTGTTGGTCAGCATCAGCAGTTCGTGACACCAGTGCACTTACAGCTGGGAAAGTAATACTGGACATGGCTGCAACAGCTCCTGCTGCCCACATCATCCTGCAGAAAATAGACTGAGGTAACTACTCCACAGGGACAGAGTCCTGCAGACAGAACATGTACCTATGTATTCGTGTATTCGTGCGTACACAGACAAAAGTGTCTCTCTTGGATAAAGGATAAAATGCAGAACAACGTTAATTCAGATGTAAAAATGAAATGTACATACCAAGGTTCGGACCCAAAGCCGTACCACGCAAGCTGTAGTATTTGAAATCCTAGACCCAGTAGGATGGTGTTTTTATTTCCAATGGACCGCATGAGCAAACTCAAAACTATTGTCTAACAGAGCAGGGAGAAACGTACAAGAAAACAAAAATAACATTTTATTCTAAATGTTAAATACATGCAAATAAGTTAATGAATTAAAAAAGCAAAGTTCAAAAGCAGTATTTGCCAAGTAGGAGCCTTGTCTGTACCAAAAAAATCATCAATTGGATGATTAGCAAGTAACATAAGCTCTCTCTTTTTCTAAACAAAAGGATTTTGTTATCCCAACACAAAGCACCTTGCGTATTAATGAACTACACTCTTATCTAGCAAGCTGTTCATCTAAGTAAGTTAGTTAAAGTAGGAGTGTTATCAACTGTTAGAAGCTTAGAAGAACAGCTACAGAAAAGGCGAGTGAGATTTCTGGATCCAGAACATGGAAGCTCTCCATAGTACTCAGCTCCTCCCAAGTTGCTCAGTGAAATACTCAGCAGTGACTCACCTGTGCAATAATGGAAAGAATTCCAAGGACTGCTATAAATGCTGCAACACTTTCAGATGAAAATCCCATTATCTAGACACATAAATAACAAACAATTTGACAATTGAAAGTTAAGTGCACATCATGTCATCACACACATCAGTCTAAGAACAGTCAGT